TTCCTTGAAAATTATGCTTTATTTACTGCCCAATTTGCCACAACAGCAGTTATTATCATTTACAGAACCTATACTACAAAGAGTGCAAATGACAAACCGGGACGTAGGAAAGTTACTGATATTGAAATTATTCAGCAATGAAACACGTACAAAACCTCACAAGTTACAAAGTAGAGTTTGAATAGGAAGGTATACAGGCGACCACATTCGAATGGGAGAGTATAAAGGTGAACAAGAGTAGGGAAACAAAATCAGGGCAAATTCGCAATTCCAATCAATCACATAGAGCTTTCTAGCGTTTACAAATGCTGCTACATCTCTATCATATAGTAATGACAAGCTGGCATAATTAATTAAATAATTATTATTTTATCATTTAGCAATATCACAATGTACAGTTATTAGTTATATCGCACATATACCACAACATGCTTCCTTCGTAAATTTCACTGATAGGAACAATTTGTCACACCTACAAAATAATTTAGAAGAAAACTTAATTAGTTTCACTCACTTATGGAAAGTCTTACAGGATAGTTCTTGAAATAACTGAGCAAATTAAACGGGAGCAATGGTTTGAAATGAAAGACGCTTACCCGTCAATGAAAGGTAGGGGGTCGATGTTCTGGAACAAAGGATCAAGTTTACTTAATCCTTAATTCCAAAAGAGTTACAATGTTGTTAGTGGGGAAAAACCGGGCGATTATTTGTTAGTTAGCTAATCATGGAAGCAACAGTACAGAAGTACATCGAGTTATCATCGACGTCATCCGCTAGTGACGACTAGAAAAGTAGCCGGTAAGAAATTTTTTCAAAGGGATTCCATCACAACCCATTGACTGCGGGGTTGAAACTTCATCATTTCACCACAATTCCAGTGTTTTGGCCAGATCCTGTGCTATATGATCGAATCCAACAGTAAGATTGAATAGATCGAAGTCGTGATCATCGTCAGTAAGATTCAAGTGGAGTGAAGAAGATGATACGGTTGAGAATGGGGACGAGCCTGATGGCGTGGATCCGCCGGATCCGGAAGCGTATCCAGGTGAGCCGCGCGCGGGAGTGGACAGCTCGTCCCA